CAAAGTATTGAGATGAACTTTTGTTATTGACCAAATACTTATTTTCCACCATTATTTGCAAAAAAATTCTTTAAAAGTCAGACAAAATGATTTTCTCAAATTTTTTTTCACATTTTTTCTCATTTTGTCTCTCATAGTTGAGGTCTACCTCAATTATTTTCCCCACTGTATTATCACCTGGTGGAAGACCCGAGTTAGTGCTTCTAATTTAGCCTATAAATTTAACAAGTGCTAATCCACTCAAATTTTAAAATCAGCAAAAGTCCTAAAGCACTAATCAGGAAATTAGTTCCCCATTAGTGATTTAGTGCTTAAGGGGAACTGTGCCCACCACTGTCAACCAGCAATTACAAACAGTAAGTGTTCGAAGAATTTTATTTATATAGCTACTCATATCTAATGTAAATGCTGGTTTTCCTGTTTTGTTTTATGACATCTAAATATTTCAGCACATTTTCAGCCATTTTAATCATTCAAACTTCAAAATACCCACCTCATTCAGGCAATAACTGTTATGACTTTTTGTACTTAAAATATTTCACTTTATTTACCAATGTTTTTTTTTTGTTTGTTTATTTGAGGTAACTTTAGCTTTTAGCATTTAGTTAATTTTAGGTTTTAGCTAGCCTGGCCCTTACCTTCCTACACAGTTTCACTCAATTCTAGTTTCCCTTCACTCCGTCTGGGATTTTTCCCATAGACAAGGATTTCTCTGGTAGAATTTTAAGCAGGCCAATCAGCAAACAGAAGGAGGAGTTTTGACTGACGACACTGATTTTCTGCACCGTTTCAGTCTGCTTGTAGTTTAGTAATGGCTGCAGAAGAAGTGAATGAAGCTAGTCTGTGTTGACAAGGCTCACAAATTAAATTTGTCTCACAAAACCTGCAGCACTCATTTACAGCCACCTCGTTCGGCTCAGTACTTCTCTGGTTGTTGGTTGCTGGTAACGTTGGTGATGGTTGTTGATAGCGCACACAATTTCCAGTTAGCTTCTTAGCTTAAGTACTTTACTCTCAAGCTGGTGCACTACATATGTCATGTTAGTAATTGGGTAAAATCAGATCCAAGTGTTTTAAACTCAAACAGAGTCCAGACCCTCTGTACAAAAGCAAAGACAATGGGGCTGTTTTTACCATTTCAACCTCTACTTTGCTAATCTTATCTTGTTATTCTCAGCTTTAATCTATTGTTGTTGCTAATTTCAGTGCCTAAGTATTGTTTTGCAGATTTGACCTTTTTAACTATTATTTTTGGCTTTTGGTTACGGATTTTTTAACTGGTTTTTTAGCTACTGTGTTAGAAATTTTAGCTTCTGTTTTACTCGTTTTAACTTTAACAAAAGCTTTTTCAGCTAATTCTGCACTCAGTAGACACATTGCATTTTCACAGAAAATGCACATTTAGCTCATTACATTGATCCGTGCAAGCTCAGCTCTTTTCAAAGAAAACCAAAACAGCAATAAAGTTTGCTGCTTCAAGATGTTTCCTGGAGATCAGTGTTGTATCAATGAACCTGAAAAAGAAAGATAAATATTGGTGTGTTTCCTCTGAAATCATGTTTTACATTAGTGTTGAGCACGTGTTTTTTTTTTGTCTCCCTTCCCTCCCTGCAGCGCTCTCAGCTCATTACAGAGTGTGTGAACCATACACTGACCACAAAGGCAGATACCACTTTGGATTCCACTGCCCGCGCCTCTCCGACAACAAGACCTACATGTTCTGCTGTCACCACAACAACACCTACTTCAAGTACTGCTGCAACGACACAGAGTTCCAGACCATCATGCAAGTCAACCTCACCACCACCCCAGACGGTTACGCACACAAGTGAGTTAAAAAATATAAGTAAATAAATGGCCATTTTCACCTGTGCTACCTTTGTTACACACAGATTTTACATGAGATAAATGTCCAATTTAGGAATTCTCTTTTTATAAGCAACATATTTTATGAATTTTGGGTTTTAGTTGGTAAAAATCATAAATTCAATGTTTTATTATTGAAAACATCTGTTTCCTAGCAACAATAGATGAAAAATGGGTATCCCCTGCTGTCGATGCAGCATTTTTAGATTCTACTTTGTCACCGTTTCATCGCTTTCAGTCTCTGGTGTTTCTCTGTTCCTGTCCTTCTATTAGCATATTTTTATTGGTTCAGTATTCACTGTAAGGAGCACCTCACCAAATGTTAAAGAAAATCTTTTCCCTGCTTTCTTTTCACCGCATCATAACTGAGCCATGAGCAATACTTTCACCCCCTTGAAGTTGCTGTGGAATGTGAAGGAATCAGCTCCTGCTGACATAGTAGCTAAACATTCTTTTGCTTGACATTTTTTACTCTTGAAATCTGCAGTGGAAAACTCCCGGGAAGCCTGCAGCATCAGCACGTCACGTGTAAAGCACATTGGTTTAGCTTTCCAACAGAAAAATCAACACAGAAACATCACGGCTGGCCGAGATGAAAGTTTCTGAGTTGATGAGGAGGAGGAGGAGGAGCTGTTTGAAGCATGGATTTTGGCGGGAACTGAGCAGATGAATAGGAGAGAGCATAGGGGGCATGTTTGGCCGCTGAGCAGGGCGAGGTCAGTCTGTTGGGCTACATTTGCACTGCAGGCAGACAGTCTGAACAAGACAAATTCAATTTTTCCAAGTCTGACCCAGTTCTTCTCAGTATGTGGTACAAAATCAGAGACATACCTGTATCTCATAATTTTCAAAGCAACCTCAGTTTTTATTGCATCTGAATTTTAAATCAGTGAGGTGGTGGTGAGTGGAGCGATCCAATAAAAATGATACTATCCTCGAGTCATGCAGTTAATTCTTGTAGCTCCATTCATCTTCAGCTACAGAACAGAACACACGTTGCTTCACGTTTCTTTTAATTTTCCATGGATGACAGGAGAACTGTGAAACTAATGGTAGTAAATTAATGTTGGCCACCATATGGATACTAGAGTAACTTGATCAATACTTTCGTTAGTTTTACTTCAGCACATCACCAACGCTAAACCACTAAACAGATTGTTTAAAAACTCTAAGGAAAAAGAAGTCAGACAGAACTCTTTTGTTGGAATACTTAATGTGTTTATTAGTTTTATAAAATGTAAGTTTTAATAAATATGCCACAGCAAGAAAATCAGTCATTTCCAAATGACTTTACTTGGAAATAAAAAAATATGTAGTTATTCAGACATGTAAATAAAATTGCAACAACTTAAACAGCTCAACTTTCATTTTCTGTGAAGCAAGATCTGCTGTGATGCTTACACTTAGCATGATGAAACCTCATTAATGTTAGCTTTTTCTTTGTTTTGTTTTTATTTCCATAAAAATCACAACATGCCAAGATTCTGAATAATGAGTGTAAAAAATTATTTGACGTATTGTATGACAAATATTTAAATTACATTAGGTGTCGTAAGACAATAGATATTTTATTAACGATTTAATTAAAACATGAAAGTATAAAACAAGCCATTCTAAAATCTTTAATAAACTTGTACCTTATAATGCTCTTCTAGCTGTTCATAGCTAGACAAGCTCCTCCTGCCCAGGGTGTAGCACGACATAGAGATCTTGCTGTGGTTCAGCGTCTTGGTCAGGTCAACAAAAGTGGGGACTCCTGTTACTGACTCCTGTTTACCATATGAAGAGCTGGTCATGATCCTCTCCTCGAGGTGGCAGGCCTGTGCCAATTGTTTCCTCTTGATACAGCATTTTAAACAGTGCACACTCCTTATTTGTCCCTTGACAGTGGTTTTCTTGGGCTGGCACATAACGCACTGAAAATACAGGGTGTTTTCTTTGGCCTTAACCTTTGACTTAAAAACAAAACAGTCCTCCAGATTGGGCCACGTGTTAGACTACAGTGAACTCTGCCTCACCCACAGCCGTGGTTGTAGAGTCCTCTATGTGGTTAATCCACAGGTTGAACTGAAACACTGTTTTCACCTTCCATGTCAACAACTTCAACTCATTGTAAACAAACGGGAACAGAACAGAATGTAAACTTCAGAGTTACACAAAGCAATATTGTGTCGACCAATCATGTCTTGTCACGTGACACGCAGTAAGCCAACAGCATCCATTTATCTTCTAGCTGTCCTTTTTTTTGGTAAGCATTATTGAACTGAAGGTTTACAACACAAACAATGAGTGGTAAATGGGTGGATTTGGAGCAGAAAAGATAATTGAGTGGACGTTAAGAGAAATAAACCTTTATAAAGTTAATGCAAATGCTTAGAAAAATATTAGTTCCGTTGTTAGCAGATAAGTGGAAATGTGTCCACGTCTGTTTAATGGGCCCTGATTGCGCAACAACTTCAGACTAAAGACGCTAACATGTAGCGTTCATGTTTATGTCTGTGAACACGTTAATCATCTTCTGCGCATGCGAGTAGAATAAATGGAATAAGCTAAGCATTCACACTGGAATCTGATGGTCATGTTTAGAATAAAAATGTGAATGTCCACATGCACAAAAAATGGATTTGTGCAAAAAATTTGTAATTGAGCATTAGGCCTGCATTGTGATGGTAGCAGACAATATCTGCGGGCAGACCGGTTGAAGCAAAACAATGCCTTTTCTGTATAAACTTAAACATGCAGAAACTAACTTTAAATAAAGTTCTGACCAATCACACATTGACACTGGAAGAAAAAAGAATTCTGCTGATAGACCTTGTGTTGAGAACAGGTTCTTGGTGCCCATGTAAAATAAAATAACATTAATCTGGTCTAACAAAGGCATTCAGAAGAGCAGATTTCATCACTTCATACACTGAGTGTTAATACATCACTTATGACATCATCTTTAAGATTAACCCAAAATGAACAGAACCTGGTCATTTCAACTTTAACATGACAGGCTGTGAGCAATGTGCATCTTTTCAAGATGTTGAAACCAGTAAGAGATTTGTCCGTCCGTCTGTCCGTTTTCTGCCGCTTATCCAGGGCCGGGTCGTGGGGGCAGCAGCCTAAACAAGTAACACATACCAGCACAAATAAAAAAGTAAATACATCTGCTGTCAGTTTATTAGTTTAATCTGATTAGAGAAATAATTTGCTGTGAAGATTTGCCTGCAGCTGTGATGGAACAAGCAGATATTTACTCGGTTGAAAAATAATCAAAGTTTATTTATACATTCCCAGATGGTTCACTTTCTCACGCTATCTGCCACTGATACTGTTTGTCATCATGTCAAAGAGATTTGTTGATGCTGACCTTCACCTGCAGACACAGTCAGAACCACCAGGGTGGAGAGCAGATGCTAAAAGCAGGTGTGTTGTGTCTCACCTGCACATCAGACTGCAGCTCAGGTGTTAAGATGTGGCTATTATATGAATATTAAAAAGTCACACTACATCACTGAGTCATGTAAGAACTATATGACTGTGTGGCATTTTTAGACAGAAAAATATGACAGGGACAAGTAAAGTATTAAAGTAGAAACTATTGAGCACTTGCAGAATACAGTAGTTTCAGCTGTGTGAATGACAGAAACATGTACCGTACCTCCTGTTCTGAAGGAGCTCTCAGTGGGATGTTTGGGTGACAAAACTCCAGCCCTTTGCACTGATGCCCTGCCAGCATGCAGCGGCTTTGAATACTTCACACTGCCTCACAGCAGGTTGTAATTTTTTTTTGTGCTGGATGGCCTATCGGGTCACGCTTTTATCTTGGCTCAATGGGTGATAGGCCTGCAGGTTTGATATTTACCACTGGCAAAGCAAAAATTGTCAACAGCTCTGTTCTCTCCTCACACTGCATGGTGAAAATGTTATTTAATGTCGAAGATTTCATGCTGCTGCTGTTAAAATTCAGGGTTATTTTTGACCTTTGTAATAATGCTGCATGAAGAATGGAAGTCTGTGTTGTTAAGAAGATTGTGAAAGGGTGAAAAAAGAAAAAGGATGATTTGAGAATAAGAGCAAAATTTGACAGGTGATCAATATCATCTGTTTTTCCTGTGTTTCTTCAGAGCAGCATCATTTTATGTTGTGTGGACAGAATGAATCATCACTGTGCGGTGAGGTTCGTGGATGGTGAGGCACTCAGGTTCACAAATATGTGAACCCTAAAGAACAACTTATTCATCATCTGACTGACAGAATTTAATGAGTTATGATTGATATCTCATAAATATCCTCCACACAAACAAAATTGTAGCTCACTTGATGCACATTCATTAAAAAAATTCACATTCATTAAAATATTTTCTTATTTTTCTTATCCAAAAGAATGACTAATTGATTGGCTGCAGCAGCCATTTTGAACCAAGTTGATTCTAACCATTAATGGGTTCTAAAGCAAATATTTCCCAAGTGTTTCATCAGAAACTATCTAATAATAAGATGTTTTGCTAACAGACTAATGAACACATGCAGAGATGCTGTCATGGTGGCAGGTGACTACTGAAATCAAATAATCAAATGCAGGTAAGCATGTTTCATTGCAGCAGTTACATTAATCAACAATTTATTCCAGCAGCTGAAATATTTGTTTTGAAAAGGATTACTCAGATAAAAGGTCCTTGGGGCCAAATGATTTCCAAACATAATATGTTTTACTTCATTTACAGTTCTCACACTAGAAGCATTTTGACATCACTCTTCATAAAAACTTTTATCAGGGTATTAGTGTATCGCTGTAATTGCACTGTGCTGCAAATAAAAGACGTTTCCTTTCAAATAAATCTCCATTTTTTGAAGTAATATGCTGCGTCATCTCTGCCTGGAGCCAGAATATATTTCTCATCTCATCCATTTGTGCGATAGTCTAAACGCCTTCGGTGCCATTTTCAAGGAGAAATGTCACAACGGGAGATAATTTAATATCTGTTTTTTTCTCATATGCCTCAGGAAGCTGCTTTCTGAAGCCATTTCTGCTCATTTACCTTGTTTTTTTTAATAGAAGTTGTTTTACCAAAACAGAGTTCAAATGTGACCCACATGAATCCAGCTGGATCATGCAACGCTTGAAGAAAATTTATGAGAGGTGAAGAATGAGGAGCACAGATTTTGCAGAAAAACCATTGGAGCCAGAACGAGATGGATTAAAGAGTCTTTTGTGCTAATTAAATTCTTGGTCCAATTTAGGAAGCTGAATTTAATAAACAGAAAATGAAACAGATGAAGGACTTTTTCCTAATTTATATATTTAACTTTTTTATCAAGGGAGGATTTGATGAACATCATGGTGTTGCCAAGTGAACAGCAAACGTTCACACCTGGCAGCACCGCCATAGCCTTTGGGATTTAAAAGCTCAGCTTAAGGAAATCTGCATGAAAGCTCTGAGAGTGAAAAATATTAATCATCTCCAGACAAAACTGCATTAATGCTCCAAATCTGTCTCTCTCTGCAGTAATTACACAGCCCTGGTTGGCGTGTGGATCTACGGTTTCTTCGTCATGGTGCTGCTGGCGCTGGACTTCCTCTACTACTCAGCCATCAACTATGAGCTGTGTCGGATCTACCTGGAGAGGTGGGGTCTGGGGGGTCGCTGGCTGAAGAAGGCTCGGAGTCAGTGGCACAGGTCTCTGCCAGATGAGAGCGAAGTGCCGGCCCAGGCCCAGCCCATGGTCCCCAGCCACTACCAGCCCAGACACAGTCTGCGAGGGGAGAGCCACAGCCCCACGCTCCTGCCCTACAACACATCCACTGCATGGTGAGGCCTCTAGAACACAAAACACACACAGAGAACTGCAACAACACCTGAATATGACATATTATAGGGAAATGCTAGCCTGGTAAAAACCAGACCCTTGTCCTTGACTTTGCGTCGTAGGAGGGTCTGGACTCGCTGCTATAGAGAAGCGATTCTTGCTGGAGGCGTGGCCTCTGCTGAAGTGTGTGTATGTCGCTGTGAAGGAGGCTAAGCTAAGAAGCTAACCGGAAATTGCGTGCGCTGTAAACAACCCTACTGAGAGGAGAGAAGTACCAAGCCGAACGAGATGACTGTAAATGAAAGCTGCTGCTTTGTCAGACAGATTAATTTTAATTTGAAGCCTTGTCAACACAGACTGGCTTCATTCACTTCCTCCACTGCCTTATGCTAAACTAACTAGCAGACACTGCACAGAAAATTGACATTCAAAACTCCACCTTCTGTTTGCTGATTGGCCCAGGTAAAATAAACTACAAGCAGACACTGCGTAGAAAATCGATGTTCTGTTCTCTGATTGGTTCAGCTAAAAATCTGCCAGCGAAATCCTTGTCTATGGGAGAAATCGCAGACGAAGCAGAGAAGGGAAACCAGAATTGAGCGGAACTGCATAGGAAGGCAAGGGCCAGGCTAGGGAAACTCTTGCTTGGTTAATAGCTTGGTGCTGAGTGCCATAGACTTGTACCTCAGGCTGCATGTTGTGTTGGGAATTGCATCAGACATAACAATTATCACGTTTCTTGTTTTAGTTTGATCACTGTGGCAACTCCTGTGGAGGGGAGCAACCAAAACATAAACATAAACAGGGACAGCTTGCCAAAAATAAAGTCACTACCAAAAATAAAGGTCACACTAATTTTTGGTTGGACCACCTTTAGATTTGATTATGGCACACATTCGCTGTGGCATTGTTTGAATGAGCTTCCTAGACCCGACCAACTGCAGCAACCCCAGATCATAAGCCCCGCCCCCACAGGCTTGTACAGTAGACACTAGGCACCATCGGTGCATCCTCAAAGTCAGTGAGTCCCCACTATCCTTCCAGTTTTTAATAATGCGTTGGACAGTGTTTAACTCAATTTTAGTCATTTCTACAATCTCTTTACTGTAGATATTTTTTTCTGCTTGATCCCAATGATTTGACCCTTCTCAAACAGACGAACATCTTTTCCACGACCACAGGATGTGTCTTTCCAAATGGTTGTTTAAGAAATGAGAAGCAACTCGTTGCACCAGCTGGGGTTAAAGGGCCATTATTACGTGTTTCTCAGGCATGCATTTAAATACTATACCATAATAAAGTATCTATGTCACATTTAGCTGTTATTAAAATGCTGTTTTTATGTTTAAATAGAAAATAAACTTATCTTCTCATCACTTCCTCTTCTAAATGCCTTGAAATTGGCCTCTGTCTCTTTAAGAACCACCTTCCGCTTCTGTCTCACCCATTTCGCATTTCGGTGGTGGTGGTGGTGGTGGTGGTGGTGGT